GTTTATTACAATGAAGTTTTTTTCTGAATGACTCATTTAGAATATAAGCAAATATTTCAATTCTTTTTTTTCAAATTATTTTACAAAACTCAACTTGATAAAAATTATTAGTAAGCTATTTATTTGTTTAAAAAATCTGATTAAGGGGGCTGGAGAGATGGCTCAGAGGTTGAGAGCACTGGCTGCTTCTCTAGAGTTCCTGAATTCAATTCCCAGCAACCACATGGTGGCTCACAACCATCTGTAGTGAGATCTGGTACCCTCTTCTGGAGTGCAGACAGAACACTGTATACATACTAAACAGATAATCTTTCAGAAAATGCAAAAAGAGTCCAAGCTGGGCAGTATCCTAGGCTATTTATTTGCTCTTGGCTCCCTGTCTTAGTCCTCCTTTCCAGCTACCCCAACCCCAGCTTCACTGCTTTCTCTCCCTGCTCTGGACTCTTCCAGATGCCTCTGGCTATACTCTCCCTCATGTCTCCAATAAAAATTCTCTGCTCAGTCATACGATGGAGTGGTTATGACCTTCATATACTTGATTTCTGTCAAAAAAAAAAAAAACATTTCTTTCAATAGTGCACACTTTCTTAAATCAGATTGCCTTGGTTTCTGTATGGTTAGATTGAAGGATTAAATTTGAATTCTGTAAATAAAGGTTCTAAAAACCTAGCATAAATTTTTCACTTATTCAAATTAAAATACTGCTAATAAACAATTTTTCCCAAATCATTTGTGATTGGAAGTCTTTTATGTATGACTAATGTTAAATCACATGTAAAATGTATAGATGTAAACCAATAATGTATTGAAAGAAAAAATATGAAATGCTTATGTCTTAAGGAATAGCCAAAGGAACTAAAGAGTTGGAATGAGATTTATTTATTGCCTGGAAGGACAAAAGTGACTTGACTAAGCTCTGGGAGGCAAATAAGGCAATAATTATGTTAATGACTACTTAATAAGGTCTTTAGAATTGGTGGAATAAAATTTAAAAAACATTTTAAAGGCATCTCTTGAAATGTGCCACATCATCTTGAACATGAAAATTCTTACCTTAAAAATCTCTTTGGGAGCTCATTGTCTAAGAGAAAAACATACCTTTGCCATTGATGGGCTAAACTACGCTTTCAAAATCATTTTCTAGAAGTGCTTAATTGCTGCTGTCTTTCTGCCTTTCACAGTAACTCTTAAGTACTATGGAAAGTTTTACTTAACATGTAGAAGTTCTTTGGGGGGGGGTCTTGATTCAGAAAAGCCACCTTACCTATTATGCAGCTAGTTTTCTTATGTAATAAATAATATGATAATATGCTTCTATAGTCCTCTCCTACTAGCCTGTTAATGGAATCAGATTGAGCCCAGGGTACCTTAGCTCATTTGATGATCAGTGTTTTAAATAGGGCTTTTAATTGCACACACCATCAGTAAATATGTTAGTTCTGTTATTCATTAGAATACAGTGATAACTCTAGTAGTTGGCTACCCAAATAAGAACAACTTGCTGAAATTGTGTCTGCAGTAGAATTTTCAGTCCTTGTTTAAGTAAAACTTATAGGTTACCAACATCAGTTTTGCTGAAAGACGAGATGAAAGAAATGACAAGTATGAAATTTGTGGAACAGTATTTCATAAGCCACACAAGGGCTCTTTATTTTTAATAGAGATGGCTAAAATTAGAAAACTATGAGAATCTGACAGTATGTATCTAATCTGATCCTTTAGGAAAGTGTAGCAGAATAAAATAACATTCACAGATGTTCTTTCTAAAATGTTAACGCACATTGCAGATAAGGAATTTCAGTTTTCTCTACCACCTCAAGATTAAGGGTTTTTAAAGTATAAATATATTTAGGTAAGCTGGGTTTTTCATTTCACCGTGATTGACTTTGTGGTCTCTATTAAGACAGCTTCAAACTCTTGAGTCAAGCTTGCTTGGGTTAATAAGCTTTTTCATAGCAATGAAACCAGAAATTCTTTTTACCTCACAAAGAAACAGTTTTGCAGCAGTAAGGTGTGACTCCTTAACACTCACTATGTTCTTTATACTTCCCGTACTGAATTTTAACTGGTTGCCCAACCCCAGAGTACCAAAACTAGATATTACCAGCCTCAATCCGTAGTACTCATGTTGCCCTGAATTTGGAATCGTTTATGGATTCTGCTTTTGCTTTGTGAGCAGAGTTCATTCATTAATTATTTTAGCACTTATCCCAACTGGAAACATCTTTCATCTCAGTGAGTTCCTTGGTTCACTCTATATTGAGTGGGACACTAACTGGAATATGTAGGTATGGGTCTTTCATAATGGGAGACAGACAATACAAACAGTTTTGATAAAATGGTGTAGGTTATTCGTGCCACAAGAAAGTCAGTATTCTTGTGTAAGAACAAAAAACATTTTCATGTAGGGACCAATCAACTCTTCTTCATTGAGTTAATTTGCTTATTTTGTTTTTAAAATATTTTTATTTATGTGCGTGTCTGTGTGTATATATCAGTACCCACAGAGGCAAGAGGATGGTGTTGAATCCCCTAGGATTGAAGCCACAGGTAGTTGTGAGCCATCTCTCAAGCTTCAAATTATTTTAGGTTATAAGAAAACAATGACAGAAATGTATCTTTGTCCAGCAACGCTGAAAATCTTGATCTAACAAATCCCAGGTATTGTCATTCCATCTAATGTATAATCATAGTAGTACTTTAAGGCTAGTCTTAATAGCACCATTAATAATTGGGTGGGCCTTTTGTATTTCCTTACTTGTTAGGATTTTCTTTTCATCATTCAGTCTCATCACTGACCAGGCAGCAAAGACTTTTAGCTTCTGATTCTTCTTAAACCTCAAATGTAGCACGAATAGTAAAAATCCAGAGACAGATATTGGGGTTCAATCTGAAAATCAGAAGAGTAAAGCAGCCAGCCACTGGCTCTAACCTCTAACCCAGACCAAAAATAGATGAGATCCTGTCTCCACAAATCCTGAAGACTCTGCACCCCACACTCCATTGAGTTCCTATCTCTTCCCCTTTGTATTCCTCTTTCCTCCATATCACTCCTGTCTATACCTCCCTAGTGCTGGGATCACCTTTGTGTGAGCTCTGTTTCCCTTTTAGACAGATTCAATCTTGAGCTCTGTTTCCCTTTTAGACAGATTCAAACTTGTGTAAGCCTAAGGTGACCTTGAATTTATTCACAGAGATCCACCTGCCTCTATCCTGAGATTAAAGGTATGGGTCACCACCACTCCCTGACTAGTATGGCTGTTTTGCCTTTGGATACTCAGGCAAGCAAGCTTTATTTATGAAAACACAAATAATATACCACTATACTCAATGGTATATAAAGTGAATTGGAATTATTCCTGTAAAAGTTTTCTGAAAGGTGCTAGTAGAACTTAATTTTATCTACAAAAGAGTCCTTGGTGAAAAAACGGGATCTAATTTGAGACTAAAAAGTCTTAAGCAGAAGAAAACTGTTTATGACAAACTTGAGAATTAGTTTGCTCATGTCTGACTTTTCTTCTATACTACTTGCATCTAACAAACTTCAACTTTGCTTTGTGCTTGTGCTGATTCTAATAACAGGAACAGTTACATTACTAGAAGTATCGATCACTAGAAATTTTGCTAGTGTTAAAAAGATTTGTTAAAAGCAAAGTTTAGTAATATAAAAGTTACCATATGCTGTTTCAGAAAGAAATTTATTATCTTCCTTTAGCCAAAATACCATTGGACACAGCAGTGTGGATACTAACTAAGCTTTGTTTTTGAATTGTTCACGCTTACTGTTTTTTTTTAAAACCCATTCTTCCCCAAACTAAAGCAGTACACTAAAATAAGTTGCCATTTTTACAAAACTGAATGGATAGATGCTACTAAAGCAAGCAAAGTAAAACATTCATTAGTGTATTCTTCCTTTTGGTGAACCATTACTAACAGTCACTAACTTAATAAATTACTAAAAGTTGAATTTTTTTTGTTTCCCACAACCTAGAATTCAGAAACAACTCTTAGAAATGTCAACATTTTTACCAAGTTTTTTTTTTTTTTCTTCATTTTTTGAGACAGTGTTTTTCTGTGTAGCATTAGTTGTCCTGGAACTCACTCTATAGACCAGGAAGGGTGTGTGTGGTACAGTAAAACCTCTGTCATTATGAAACAATAGGTCTCACTATGCCACCAGAGTGGCCACAATCCCTAGCGTACACATGCAATCTTTCAGGTATGACTTCTTCCTTGTCAATACTTATTTATTTTTGTTTTGGTTTAACCTTTCTCCTCCTCGCCATGTGCACCATGATGTTTCAAAAATAAGGCTGGTACCATGAATATGAAAGCTGCAATTTGCAAGGTATGGCATCTAGAACTTCAGATGCCAATCAGAATGGGTGCAGTTCTAATTAAATGATCAGGTAACATCACAACATGCCAGGGTGCAACATCAAAACTGCACATTGTTTTTTTTTTTCTCTTGATGGATCAGAGGTTCCAGATTGCCTCCAGTCTCTTGGTTGTGTTTTCTGTTGAGCCCCATCAGAACTCCCCCATCCTCCATGTTGAAGGCTTGCACCACCTTGGGGTTGTCTTTCTGGCACTAAAGGTTCACCATAGCTTCCATGTGATGATCTTTAACATAGAACTTTTTGTTTTATTTTGAAGATGATTTCTCTGTGTAGCCTTGGCTGTCCTGAAACTCGCTCTATAGATCAACCAGACTAACCTCAGACTTAGAGTTCTGCCTGCCTATGCCTCTTGAGTGCTAGAATTGAAGGTATGTGCCACCACTGACAGGCTTTTAACATAAAACATTTTGTAAGCCAGGTAACCAAGTGCTCCTGTTTTAGAAACAAATATAATGGCTGCAGTCCTCTCAACTCCCACGGTGGACCCGGAGATGAGGCTCACAGTGCAAACCTTTTGCTATAGAAGACTGTATGGGCAGGTTCTGGGGACTGAGACTACTCAGTGCCACTGCTCAATGTTCATTTTTGGTATGTGTTTGATTCTTTTTTTTTTTTTTTTTTTTTTAGCACTCTGTAGCTCAGCAAACACAGTTCAAGGATCTCTTAAATTTTGGGTCCTCCTTTCTGTCTCAGTTTCCCAGAGCTGGGGCTGTAGTCATGTGCCACTATGCCTATTACTTTCTGTGTGTATTTCCTTCTTTATAAATAATTTTGTGTCATGTCAGTGATAGTTTTATACTGAATACTTTTACCCCCTGAACATTTTATTGAAAAAAAATTTTAGTACTGTATTTTTGTTTTCCCCTCCCCAAGTTCCTTGCAGATGCTTCGTACCTCCCTATACACCCTACCCACTCAACTTTGTTCTCTTTAAAACAACAAAAATCTCGTGGCCTGGCCACACCTGAATTTCCCACCTCCCAGACTTTGATGCTTATCCCAGACTCTTCTGCCATAGTCCTTTATTTCTCAGTCAACAGAACCTGTCCCTAGAAGAGATGTCATATGTACTTTGTAGCCTGGTGACCTCTATGATGACCTAGACCACACCAGATATCCTCCCCTGGGACCTTAAACTATAGAACCCACTCTTACTAAAGAAGTTACATGTACTTTGCAAAAGAGTTTTAATGTAGCCACCCTTAAGCTTTATTGTGATAACTGTCACCAGAAAACATTTTCCCAATGTTGTACTGTACTTAAATATGACTAAAATAAACTGCCCAGTATCGGGTTCATTTGAACCAACACAGGCTAAGTTGTGTTGAACTGGATTTCTTTCTTTGCCAGCCCTGGTGTTCACAGGGAACCCCCACAAAAGTACACACTGAATAAGTCCTTTCCTCCCCAACAGTCCTGGTATTTCATCTCAGCAACAGAAGGCCTAACTAATACAAATATCTTTTTTTAAAAAAATGTTCTTGAATGAATTGCAAACTTTGAAGTATTTCCATACAACAGCTTTTCACTCAACTATAAGCAAACACTGGAAGTTTTGATGAAGTTATTTCTTTTTTAGGTGTTATCCTATTGCTTAAAAATAACAAATATAAAATGAGAGAAACTAAGTTATTAGGTATGTTTTAAATGTTATTCTAAAACTTTACCAAAGTTAGATACTGTATGATTTATAAGTTTAGCACAATACTGTATATATAGTACCATTAGAAACTTCTCAAACATCTTATATTTAAGTAAGGGAGACATGGTTTTATGATGATATACAAGTCTAAGCAGAATGATCAGCTGCTGGGGAGTACAGGTTAGTCATAGAGTTTCAGTCACTGACACTGCAGGTAAACAAGGGGAAGGGAGAAAACAAGGCCTCAGAGAAGAGATTGGATTGAAAGCAAGTGATCCATGATCATTATCATTAACAGTTACTGAGTGCCTACCACATGCCAGGCAACATAATGAGAACTTTGTTCCCTTTAACCAACACTCTCATAACTATGAGGGGATACTCTTTCGTCCCTAGTTAATAGATAAAGTTGAAACACAGAAACGCCTCACTTAAGCCACATAGCTAATAAATGACTAGACTAGACTCACAGTCCAGAGCCCATTTTTAAAAGCTTTCATGGTGAAAGGCCTTGAAGGAGCAAGTGCTAAAACCCCTGTGTAGTGTTGTTTTGAGAGAGTCTGCAGGGTAGCTTTAAGCTTGAAGGGCTGTGTTGCCCAGGGCAAAAAGGCAGAAGAGAACATCCAAAGTCAGACCAAGTCCAAATCTGACAGCACACATGCTCCAGGTATGGAATTTCCAAACAAGAAGAGCATGTTCCCTTTACTGTCTTTTTACAGTGTTACTTCTGGGATGGCGGTGGTATGGTGGTATTTTTTGGTTTTGGTGTTTTATTCTCCCCAAGGACTTGAGGGCGTTTTATCCTTTCAAAGACATAGCATTCACTTTTGTCTCCAGAGGCTGGTGTTCTAGTGCTGACCAGATGAAAGCCTTCCTTTAATAAAGTATCAATCAGCAAGCCGAAGACATTTGTTCCATTCGCCAATTTTCGGTTATCAGGCTTTATGGAAATGTACCTGAGACATACAAAGAAGTGTTTGATTACAAAGCATTTCATTAATAACTAACAAAACTACACATATAAACCTATTTACAACCTCAGATAAAGGCATCATACCTTTCTCTTTTTTTTGTTCTTTTGAGACAGGGTTTGTGTAGCCCATGATGGATGGCCTTGATGAAAAAAAAGAAAAAGGAAAGGAACATGACTGCTCCTACATACAATGGAAGAGAAAGTTTATAGATAAAAGGGAGAGCACAGCCAGAGGCAGGGACATCTGGGAGAGTTCAGTGGACATGACCCTGAGTCATGTGAGGATGGGGGAGGGGCATAGAGACTAGGGAGAGTGGAGCTGGAGGAACCAGGTGCAGCAGCCAGGAAGCCCAAGACAGTAAACAAAAAGGACCATGTAACCAAAATGGATAGATTAAATAAGGAAGGGCAGTCCAACCCCTGGGCTGAATAAGTTTAGGGTAGGGGGCAGGGTGTGCCAGCCAGGAGAACCCTGTAACAGGAAGGGACTAAGGGATGCTGGAAGAACTTGGATGCCAGCATCTGCTTTGTTAAATGGGTACCTAAACCATGTTTCCCAAGTCTGAAACTCAAACTCATGATCCTCTGCCTCAGACAAAATGTTAGGATTACAGCTTACAGGTGTGCACTCCGGGCTTGGCAACATAATTTTTTTTTTTTTATGAGACATCTTACTTTTTATCCCTTGCTGTCCTGGAACTCATTATGTAGACCAGGCTGGTCTCAAACTGACCCATAACATTTAACAGATTTTCTTTTTGAGATTTCATTTTCAAATTTGAGTCAATAACTAAATATATTAGAGACTTGATTCCAAATCATCTGTTACATTTATGAATATAATATCATTGCCTTATCATTTGTTATTTTCTGCAGCAATTTTGTCAAAGAACTGCCCTAATTTTTGAAAGTGTGTAACTTATTTCCAGGATTTTTTTTTCCAGTTTGCTTTTACCCAATTTGACTAAATGATTGTTAAATTGTTTTTATGAATACTGTGCTTTCACAATTTTCTACTGAACCTAATTATTAGTACTGCCATTATAACTTGTGGTTTATTCATCAAACCAGCCTTTTCAGGTTAAAATTTGAAGATATAAAATGTTAAGACTCCATTTTATTGCTACCTTTTCATCAACAATTGCCTATTATTGGAAAGCAAAACATGGTAGTCAAAAACCAGATTGAAACTGAAAAGGCAGTGGTAGCTCACAGCTTTAATCTCAGCACTCAGGAGGCATTGCCAGGTGTATCTCTCTGAGTTCGAGGCCAATCTGGTCTGCAGAGTGGAGAACAGTCAAGGCTACACAAAGAAACCCTCTCTTGAAAAACAAAAACAAAAAAAGAAAGCAAAACCCTTCCGTCTCTAAGTACTCCACAAAGCCAGCACATGGCTCCAGAAAATCCTGCCCATGCTTGCTCTAGTAGTAGCAATATAATATGGAGGATATCTGCCATCAAGGGTATTTTTGTGTCTTCCCGCTGTTTGTTCTGAAAATGTGAAAAACGGCTTAGGTTAGTTCCCAGCAGATACCAAAGCTATAAGTAGTTTCATGAGTGTAAAGCAATGTTTGAGCATATCCCTAGTTATTACTAACTGAGGTTATGGTCAGAAAACAACTAACAGTTAAAGATTATCAATCTACAAAGCACATCTCAAAAAAAAAGTTTATTGTGTTTGATGCAAGATTTTAACAGTAGTAAAGCATTTCATCTATTCCAAAGTCTGGATCTAAATTATACAGTCTAGAAACAGTTGTCAGAAAGTTACAGAATATCACAAGACTATAAAGATACAAATAGGAAGTAATAGGTGTTAAAAAAAAAAAAAAAAAAAGGTAGAATGTACTTTGACGAACCATTGAGCCAAAACTACGTTAACTGATTCCCTGTGAAGCCAAACTGAAAAGGGATTTCAAGACACAAGAAAGGGATGAACAGAAAACCTGCACTTCTCTCTAGTTGCAGAACCCAGGGCTTCCAGTGCATGATAGGCAAGGACTCCTTTACTAAGTTCCATCACACCTTATTTTTAAAAAGTTGCAGTCAACTATACTTTTCCATCTAGTTTAATATAAAACGGAGATATGAGAAAATGACAACAAAAGATACTCTAGAATTCTGAGACCACAACTTGAACTAAGTAGTATGTTGTTACATGACGGGCAACTAAAGATGCAAGCCAAGGACCAGAGAGAATAACCAAGTAACTGAGCCTGCTAAGAACATACTGAAGATGCTTATAAGCCAGCCAGGCTTATTCTACCATATCCACCATCCACAAACATCTGAATAGATACTCAGACAAAAGATTAGCAAAAATTACAGATAACTGCCAACATCTACTCAAAAATGGTTCTGACCAGAGCTGTCACCCAATCACCACTTATTTCTATGTCACTTTAAATAGATAATATATCACTATTCTGAAACTGGCACTATGTAAATTAAGAATTCCAAACTGAAAACAACCAAAAATACCGCCACATAGTAACTGGGTGAGGGAACATATGTCTATAATCTTAGCACTCGGGGCAGATACAAATGAATCAGAAGTTCCAGGCTAGCCAGGGACACATGAGACCCTTTAGAAAATAGTAACTAAAGAAATAGCTCTGGTTTTAGAATTATCTGTTATGATTTGCAAAGAAAACATTCTGTGCTGTTTCTGAAACATAACAAAAGGGGGGGAGTCACTTGATAGTGTATATACAAGAATGATCCAATTTCAGTTGCTAACCTTGTTTTATAAGATAATTTGTTCCTCCAAATTTTAAAAGAACATTTAGTATTTCCAAGATTTCTCTTCACCTACTCTGTGTCTTCCTAAAACTGAGGTTGCCATTTGTATTATTCCTTTAAAAACGGCGGCGGCGTGGGTGTGTGGACAAACACAGGATAGACGAGACACAAAAGGAAGAGACGGGACACGCGGCTCCCACGTGGGTGCACTTTAATGGGGAGAGGGGAACACAATAAGGGATGGGACGTGCGAGACACACAAGGGTAGGGGGAGAAAAAGGCCAAGAGGGCGAAACCTCGTGGACCCTCGCTTTTAACGGGGGGGGCAAGGTTATCTGGGAGGAATGACCCTCACCTGGGCGCGGCCAGCGCGCGCACAGGTGACGGTAATCCAGGAGAAGTCTGGGAGCTGTAGTTTCCAAGGAATAACAATTTGTCCTTAAGTTTCTAACTTTCTGAAAAGGGATGCTAAAAAGGTCATTTTCATTTAATTAAAATTTAAGCTGGACGATGGTGGCGCATGCCTTTAATCCCAGCAATTGGGAGGCAGAGGCAGGTGGATCTCTGGGAGTTCGAGGCCAGCCTGGTCTACAAGAGCTAGTTCCAGGACAGGCTCCAAAGCTACAGAGAAACTCTGTCTCAAAAAAAAAAAAAAAAATTAAAACAAAAAATTCCATTATTCCTCTTATTTAAGTACTTCTTCCCCCAATGAAAACGAAGAGCAGAGTGTAAAGCAGTTTGGCAACAACAGGACCTTAGATGTTCTTCGTGGTCTATTTGATTGGTACCCATTTCTAAGATATTTCAGCTTCTTTGGAAGACCAGGAAATAGAAAGTATATAGATTTATTGTCATTCTAAGTTCTACTGCTCATGGTTCACCAGTTGGGAGCTGAGACTAAGAGGTGTGCTGTGGGAGAAATACCAACCACTGGCCTCCTTCCTGACCACTACTGTAAAGACTAAGCACTCTAAAATATGTCTGTCTCTTAAGAATACCTGCTTTTGAATGATGAAAGTGCAGAACACAAAGTTTTTTGTTTCCTCCTAAATGTTAAAACCAGCTTTTACAGTTGGTAATAATCATACACAGCATTAAGACTTTTTTTTTTTTTTTTTGAGACAGGGTTTCTCTGTGGCTTTGAAGCCTGATGTAGATCAGACTGGCCTTGAACTCACAGAGATCCACCTGCCTCTCCCTCCAGAGTGCTGGGGAATGAAGGCATGCACCACCATCACCTGGCCTGCATTAAGACATTTTTAATAGAGGATGAGGTAGTGTATCCCTGACTATAGAGCAGAAATCAGCCTTAGGACCAGCCAAGAGCAGGAGAGGCAGGTGCAGTGTGGTGCTCACTTTCAGTCTAGCACAAGAGAGGCAGAGGCAGAGTTCCAGGCCAGCCAGAGCTACATAATATGACCATGTCTCAAGACAAAACAAAAAATCTAAAATAAAATAAAGAGGCAGTCATCCTTTTTAAGTTCTAGACAGACAAAAGCATAGTGTGTAAAGGAATCAGGTCAAAGCACAGAACATCTCCTCTGTGGAAGCCAGAAACAAGCCGATTCAGTCTAAGCCATTCACTAGCAATGGAATATAATCTACAGAATCAGTTCCTCTTATAACTACACTGAAAACAGTTTCTATTTCCCTGGGCAGTCTTGGTTTATTACCTGTCCCACAATACCTTCTTAGTCTGAAAGGACCCAAGTTTAGAAAATACCTACTTGTTCTAGCTGAACAAAACATTAGTCTGAATAAACTTTTTTTTTTTTTTTTGGCCAGAAAGGGTATTAAGCATAAAGAACTTTCAGTTTTGAGAGAAACTGTCAGAAAACTGGAATAAAAGAGACACTTCAGTATTCAAAATACCTGACTCCAGCATGGTTCTCAATAGTGCCATCAGAGCCACAGTGGAAAACCAGGTCATGGTGAGAAGGTCTTTGTGGAGGCAGTGGAAGTAAAGTCACCTGAGGAGGGAAGGGGTTACCGCTCCGGGCCAGTGCTGTAGGTTGCTCTACAAACACTGTAATCCTTCTAGCTAGCAGCTCGATGGTTTTGTTGCAAGAGCCAAACACTCTGAAGAAGGCTTGAGTATTTCTGTTTAGGAAATGCACCTCCATGAGAGCAGGTCTTGATTGTAGCAGGTGCTGGCTTAAGAGCTCAACAAGAGAATCAAGTTCATAGAAAAGTGCCTCTCTCTGAAGCCTAAGGTAGTCTGAAAAGTCAGACGGTAATAGAAGCTCATGATTCCTCAGAAAATCTAAAATGAAACTAAACAAAGCACCATCTCTATCCACAAAAATCTGGCCATTAACTGTCTTGAACTCTGGGTCTCTGCCATCCACCATGCCTGCCAACCGAGAGGTAGGGAACTGCTTTAGGGTAGAGAGCCTTGTTGTGAAGATCTTCCCTCCCACGTTCAGAGTGACCAGGTCCTCACTACTCATTCTTCCTGGCTTCTCATTAGAGGCTACAAACCATTAACTTAACCTGCTACCATAAATTTTATATATGATTAAGAAACAGGGAAGTGGAGATAGAAACTCCTAAATTCCAAGGTAACTATTGTCAAGACAAATAGTGGATCCATAGCTGTGTTTGCAAAGGTGAGTTGCTTGGGAACTTGCAGTGTATAAAACAGAAACAGCAAGTGAAACAGAATGTCAATATACCTCATGATTTCAAATACATCCCTGTCCTGTAATCCACTAAATACAAAACAAAGTCTTGCAATAGGAGTGTGGTTTAGGAGTAGAGCCCTTGCTTCATGTGTGAGGCCATGAGTTCCGTCTCTAGCACTGAAGAAATCAGTCTACATGAAACCCTAACATAAATCTGTATTTCAAGCAAAATCACTAGGAAAAGAAAACCACTTTCTCCGCAGACATTTACCAAGCCCTTGTGGCTGAGGAAAGGCTTATTAAAAAAAAAAAAAAAAAAAAAAAAAAAAAAAAAAAACATGATCTGGTTTTAGAACCCCGTGAGTTAGGCTAAGAATAAACAGCCTTTACCTCACCTTCAACTTGACCGTCTCATGGCTAGTAGCTAAGGAAGATACTCTGCTTTATTTTTTAATTTTTATTTTATGGGCAGTGGTGTTCTGCCTACATGTTTGTCTATGTGAGTGTCTGATTGAGTTATGGGGAAGTATGAGCTGCCATGTGGATGAATTGAACACAGCTCCTCTGGAAAAACAGCCAGTGTTCTTAACCACTAAGCCATCTCCCCAGCCCTTCCTCCCTCCAAAAACAGTTTCTCTGTGTAGCAGCCCTGGCTGTTGTGTTGCCAGCTTTTCTCAACCCTGGTCACTTTAGTTCTCAACCAAATCAAGGGATGAGGTAACTGGTCTCTAAAACCCAACTTAATGGGCTTTCGAAGGCCCATTTTCCCATGACAGAAACAAGGGGACTAAAACAGTCTTAAGATTTGTTCTCTTTTGAATTCTAAGCAAGGTGAGAAAATTACATACTTCTGTTCTGTGGCCATCTTTCTCTCTAATGAGCAGAAAGGTCAAGTCTTTGCCTGACGGTTTTATCCTTTACTGTCACGGCAATTGTGGAAGGAACCCAGTCCACTTGCCTACAGCCTACAGCTGTAGGAAGCCGAGTCTGACGACAGGCAGGTGGACTGGGTTGGCTGTACAGTTGCTATGCACTTGACAGCACAACCGCAGCGTTGGGTACCAGTTAAAGATGGCTTTCCCAACTGCTGCCCTGCCTGTATGCACAGCTCCCTAAGAGCTGTGTCACCTCAGTGAAGAGTTCCCAAAGATCGCTGTGATGCCAATACTTGGGAGATTTGAGGTAGGACTACCAGGTCAGGCCTGGCAAAAAGAAGAGGGCGGAGAGATCGGGTTTCCAAACTTACAAGATTTACGGTGTCATGAGAAAGACTCCTCTAAAGCAAACTTGGGAACCCACACATTCCTGGTCTTCACTTTGGAATGTGACAGTCTGCTCGATGACTCAGTACCAATGACATGTTAGCTCGTGTGCGCTACGTCATGGATAGCATGTTAAAACTCTTGCTTGCTTACTTCTAGTCTCGAAGTCCCAGGCTGAAGAGATATGAGGTACAGATACAGTCATGTGCCGTTTATTACAGGACAAATTCAGCCAGGGAGAGGGAAAGCACTTATTTTAGAACTCTGTTCAAAGGAAGGGGAGGGTGGGACTACTAAACTTCACTTTTAGTTTTATGCTGATGTTTGAATAACATATAAAAGACATTATCAAAGGAATACTTTTAAAAGAAACAACGGGCTGGAATCTTGCCCAAATCTGCGTTATTCCTGTGTTCTCTAACACTCCCTCCGAGAAACAGAGCTATGTGGCTGATTTACAGCAGTTTATACCTGCACACAAATTCTGCCACGGTGTTCAGTGCCACCACACCAAAACTTCTGACTCTCTCACTAAAAATGAAAAACCCATCCGTCATCTGCTCCCAGAAAAAAACAGACTGTTGTACAAAGTCAGCTGACTTAGTCAGGTAAGAGCTGACACTTGAAAGGTAGTCTTTGCAAGCCGCTAACTCATCGAATGGAGACCACTCCAGGAATACGGTAGGACCAAAGAATACGAGGAGACCCAGCAGAACCACCACCATGAACAGCTGGTAGGAGCGCCAGGGAATCTTGCTAACGAACACGCCGGTGTCTTGAGGCAAAGAAAGCTTATCCACATCGACTAGTTTAATGTTCTCCCACTGGCTGGTATCAAAGTTCTTCATTAAAGGGCTTGTGGGCAAATTGGAGGGTGGCAAAGGCGTTTCCTTGATTACTTTGATTTTCTCCCTGAACTCCTGCATCTGTTGCAAAAATATAATAGGTTCTGACACATCCTTGAAAGCCTCAGCGATGTTAAAGGCCATCCGCTGCTCCTGCAAAATAGTGCTGAGTTTGTTGATCTCTGGATCATAGGCTTGCATAACTGCAAGCTTCATAGTCTCAAAGTCAGACAGGATTTCATTCTTCTTTTGATCCAATGTGTGTTGTAACTTCTCAAAAAACTCCTTTACTTTATCAGAATCTTTAGTGAGTAACTGTAAGGTTTTCCTTTTGTTTGTTTCCAAAGTATCCAAGCGGGAAAGAGCATCTCCCCGGCGCCAAGTCTCAAAACTCTGAAAGAGGGACTCAAAGGCATTCCTTTCTTGAGCATAGGCATCTTCAATAGAAGAGAAGACATGCTTAGTGTGGTCGCCACAGGTAGCACAGATCCCACAAATGAGCTGCATATCAGTCACACAGAAAATGTTGAGAGGCTGTCCCAAGTGTCCTTTGCACACTGGCATTTTGGGAGAAATCTTGATTTTGTTGTATTTCTCCACAATCCCCTTGAGGGAGTAATTAACCTGCAGACTGTTGACCCCAGCTGCTGACGTCTCCTTCCGGCAGGTAGGACACTTGAACGGAGATGGTCTCCACAGTGAATTCCGCACGTTCCCCTCGAGAAGCCCTTCTAAACATTTCTTGCAGAAGTTGTGTGAGCAGGGCAAAACTCGGGGATCATCAAACAAACTGCAGCAAATAGGGCACGTGAGATCTTCTTCAAGCAGCTCCATCACATCCTGCCATAGAGAAAGAAACATTTAGCTCTGGAAAGCCCCTCTAAAGTAGTTACAAGACACTATCTTCCCAATAGAATGATCTGCTGACATAATCAAAGGATTTAAGAAATTTGGTAAAGGCATGCATACTAAAGCATATTGAACTCACTGGGACAAGAGCACACTCCTGTACACAAGGCCTTTGTGAGAGCTTCCCAACAACAGCCTTAGCTAAGACAGGGTTAGGACTGGGACAACTGCACACTGAGCCAACAGGACCCAGCATTGTTTTAAAACAGAGCTGACTATTAGATGCCAGAAACAGAGTCTCAGTGTCTGCAACAGAATGGGCTCTTTACGCTGGGCCCACAAGTATAAAATGGTATGCTACTTAAAGACAGAAGCACACAATAGAAATCCAAGTATGTACTCTATTCCAGCTTTTACTGGAAACTGGCATATTTTCTATTTCAAAGAACAGATGACAGTCATTTAAGAGAACCACAGTTTAAAAAGCACAAAAGAACTGAACTGAACCTTGCCTAGGGAATTGAATGAGGTGGATTTCTGCTATTGGTTGGATGGGTTTTTTTTAAATTATTATTCATTGTTTTTAAACAAACTCATCCTATATCCTTTACACTACAGCAGTAGTTCTCTCTATGACGAGCAGAAACCTAAGTGTCCTTCTTTCACCAAAAGCATTTCCATACTGATGTGCCCTGCTGACTGATGTTTGCACTGACTTTGTCAAAGCAACAGAGGTAGACCCTGCTGAGCTGTAACAGGCACTGAAGGCATCCCCACTCATTGTCCCTCAGGGGCACAGAGGAGAGGGGAGGAGCCACTGTCAGGGAGAAGGCTCTTAGCCAGGCTGATTCAAGCACACACCTAGAATCCCAGTACTCAGAAGGACAAAGAAGGAAGGATATGAGTTCAAGGCAACAGGGCTACAAAGCAAGTTCCACCCTAGACTGGACTATGAGATGCGACTTCAAAAACAAACAAATAATAAAAATCTTGACGATTCAGCAAAAATTACTCATTTTGTCAAATCCTGATTCTTGTCTACGACTTTTAAACATGTACGACAAATAAGAGCTGCACACAAAAGCACTTGTGTACCAGCAGACGCTGTCTAAAGGGAGCAGCGGTCCGCACGGTCAAGCTACAAGAGAGGCCAGCTGCTTTTATTAGTAAGCTAGCACTATGAAGATTAGGTAGCTGACGAACATCTTGAGAAGGAGTTGCTACTTCCAGAATAAGTACTTCAACAATGGAAACACTGGGTTTTTACATTAAAATTCATATTTTTGCAAAGTATATCTATTTCTTGTAAGTATCCCATTAAAGATTCTGATAAATGGTGAACTTAATAAATATATTATATATATAATATTTTTATAGTAATATATTATAGTAATGTATTACTATATA